TCCCCAGTGCCTCCGTTTAAAAAAAAAAATTAAATAAGAAAATAAATAAATAAATACATTAAATTACCTCCAATTCCCTCTCCCTGCCAAAAAACAAACAAAAACACTAATTAAAAAAAAAACAACAGCAACACTGAAAGCATAGTGTGTGCATGGTTTGTAGGCAGCGTAAAGGCAGGAGGGAACGCTCAGTGAAACAGGCAAGGGTCAGGGAAGGCTTTCCAGAAGAGATGATGTCTGAACTGTATTTTCAAGGATGAGTAACAGACTGATTAGACAGGAATGTTTCTGTTCCCTATGTGGGGCTCAGGCCCTGCCCACCACAGGAACTCTCAGCTGGGAATATTTCAGTTATGATGTCCCCCTGTAATGCCCCCTGTTCCTGTCCAGACATTCCTTCATTTCCTGGGCTCCAGGCAAGGGGAGGCACATGAGTGTGGATTCACACAAACTCAAGTTCAAATTCTTGCTCCATCACTTACTCTGCTACCACCCTACTTAAATCTTCCGAGACTCACAGTTTCCTTATTTGTAAAAACTCATTATCAACGATGTCCACCTAATGAGGCTCTGGTAGGAATTAAGTGAAGTGATGCAGGCTAGGCAGTTTGTACAATGCCTGGTCCACGGGAAGTGCTCAGTCACAGGGTGATTGTATCTGTTACATGGAAATAAGGATATGCCTCCTCCTTACAAGCCTCTGCCATCCCAATCGTGGTCTCCTTTCTGCTGCAGCTGCGGGCAAACTGGCTGTGAATTCGGAGACACCATGGGTTAGAGGAGAGCATGGTGGGTAACAGAGTTACTCTGGCTCTGCCATCACTAGCTGAGCCACCTGGGGAAGAACATCTCAGCCTCTCTACCCAACCTCTATGACTTCCAGTCTCCTGAAGGTTTCCCTCCTGCACCTGGGGGTGGGGGTGGGCAAAGGGACACCTGGCCACATGGCCTGTCAGCAGCGCTTTTCCTGCTGGCAAGTGAGGTTCTGAAGTCAATTGGTGGAAGGTCCCAGCCTCCAAGGCCCCAGCCTGACCCCTGAGGCCTTACAATTTGCATGATGACCCTCATTTCCAATGGACGGCTGGGGAGACTGGCAGCTGTGGACCCAAGCCAGCGGGCCAGCAGGAGCCTGCCCTCTCACCTTCTTTCTGGCTTGCACTGCTGCCCAGGTTGGACCCTGTTACCAGTGTTTGTGGTCTCGTCTTGTGTGCACTGCCCCAGCCACCACTCCACTCCGTCTTGCTCCACACTCCTGACATGGCTCATGCTCTCCTTCTTCCCCGGTGGGGACCTTGTGGCTCTGCCATGCCACTTCCAGCACTGGCCAGCAGCTCTGCCTGTCCCCTTGGCTTGGCTGTGGAGACACCTACTCCCCCTCTAAATCCCAGAGGCCTGGATGCCCTCGAAGGTATCTCCTCCTCCCACCTAAGATAGTCCTGCTAGGGGAACCCACGAAGGAGCTGCTCCAGGTGACATGAAAAGGACTGTAACAGGTAGGGGATTCTTTTTCTTCAAAGAGATCAGAACCCTTGCCCTAAATCAGGCCAAGGACTTCTTGTCCCTCTGCCCAACCACAAGGTTTTGGTGGTTACCTGGCCCCTTCTAAGCTTCTTAGAAAGGTTTTCAGTAAAACAACCATCTGAAGACATGTATCTCAAAATAACAACAGCAGTTATCATAGTGCATACTGGGCGCCAGGCGGTGGGCTAAGCATATGCAGTGTCTCATTTAATCCTCAGCCCCATGAAGTAGGTACTGTTATCACCCACATTTTATAGATGACAAAACTGAGGCTGAAATACGATGTCCAGCGTCACGTAGCTGATGAAGGGCAGAGCTGCACTTCTAACTAGTAGAGGCAGGATCTTTGTACTGTTCCCCATGAACGCTCCCCTAGCAGCACTACTTCATCTGCCTGAGTGGTAGCCAACCCACTCATTGCTGGGGCAGGGCAAGATTTCTGGCCCCTGTAGGGGAAGACCAGAAAGACCTGGGGAGTGGGGAGAGGGGTTCCCAGAATGCTGAAATAAGTCCCTCCCGAGTCAGGAGTCAGCGGTCCTCCCTTCTCCTTTGGTTCTATCTGCCCCACCCCCAACCCCCTTCTTGCTGTCTCTGTCCTCCCTTCCTGCTGTCTCTGTCCTCCCTTCCTGCTGTCTCTGAGGACAGTCTAGGACCCCTCCCACAGTCAGCAGGGGGTTCCACCCCTGAGAGGTGATGACTGGATCTATTCCTGCTTCCCTAATACTTCTGTTCTGATGCAGCTCCCGCTGCCACTGGGGCCAGCATAATTTGACTTCCAGGCCCCTCACCTCCCATTTCCTCCTCATGGGCTAATTCCAGATCTGCGACAAGCTGATCCTCTCTAGTGGAGTCCCCTCACCTGGTGTCATAGGTGTTGGAGTTCTTATCAAACTTGTAGGTGGGCGGGAAGAGCAGGGGGCCCTCCTGGAACTCCCGGAGCAGCAGGTCATGTCTTTTGGCAATGCTGAGCTGGAGAGAAAGGCAAGATCCCATCTCCCAACAGGCCTGACCCCACGGCCCAACACCACACTCCATTCAAGGGATCAGCACACGCCATCACAGTGGGACAAGAATCAAACCACGCCATGTCATTTCCTCACTGCCCCAGCGGCAGCCTCAGCACCCAGGACACAAGCGGGCTGGTATCTTGGCATCCACGGCAGGTCAAAGCCCTTCTCACTCCCTACTCGCACGCACAACCAGCGGCTGTGCCCCAGGACCCCCAGGTGGAGACCAGGCCGCGACAGGACTGGCTGCCCCACCACCAGGTGTGAAGACCTCTTAGGTTCCTCCCTGCCAGGGAACAGAGGCTTGGCAAAGAAGAGGCACTAGGGAACCCCTCACATCTCATGTTGACCCCTATAAGGGGCTCAGACCACCCCTCAGGGCCCTCCCATCACTGGATACCTGATCCTTCTCCCACAGGTCACTGTAGAATTGATTTTTTATGGATTCCCGGACAAAGTGCAACCCAAAGTCCTCGATCCGAAAGTTCATGTCTCCAAACCAGAGGATGAGGCTTCAGAAAGAAAGGAAGGCAGGTGGCCTGAGGGTTTGTGATGAGGTCAGAGAAGGGAGGGCAACTGGGGGCTCTGGCCTGCTCACTGCAGGGCTGCTGGAGAATGGAAAGCTCGAGGAGGTGGGTGAGAAGCCAGATGCTGGCAGAGGATCAGGTGAAGACAAGTTGCGTGGGCCCAACAGGACTGTTCTCATGGCCCCCACCCCACCATTTAAGCCGAAGAGACCAGTCCTGGGGGACAAGTGGCAAATATGGAGCAGACTCTAGCCCTCCCTCCCTCTCCCTCAACTGGACACCAGGCAAGGCGATAACCAGCCCTTCCAGGGAACCACGGAGGATCCTGACCTAGGATGTTCAGAGTGTCCAGGGTTTCCAGGCAGGACAGAGGGGCTAGGGTAAGGGAAGGGGCCCCAGACCCCAGGTAGGCAAAGCTGGACAGGAAAGCAGATGGGGCATCAGGGAAGAGGCTGGGAGAGGGCAGGGATGGAGCACAGACTGCCTCTGGCTGGGGAGCAGTGACCTGGCAGAGCACGCTCGCCTGGGCTGGCATGGGGAGAAGGACAAGGCGGTAGTTCACAACGGCACGCTCACTCGTGGTCCAGGATGTTGGGGATATCCTGTGCCTCAAAATTCTGCATCTCCAGGATCCGGTCAAAGTGTTCCAGCCGCTGGTCATTGTTGGCCACGTGGGGGGGCAGGTGGCAGTTGATGATGCTGACATAGTAGCCATAAAGCTTCAGGAAGATGTTGACGCCCCCTTTGTTCCCCTGGTAGGACAGGTGGGCAGAAGGGTGGGAAGCTGCTCTGGGTGGGCCACACTTCTCTTTTCCTGCCTTAGGCCTGAGGTGATGGTCTCACCTCCTGCGGGATCTCCTAGGGCCAGATGCTTAGTTCCCCAGAGTGGCCTCTCCAACCCCAGAGCCCAGCTCACCCAACAGCCTTGAGGATGCTAAGCCCCCCTGAGGCAGGGAGGTAGCTTTGCAGGGCACTGGCCTGGACAGGGTGCCAAGATTCATTTCACCCCCTTTTTCATTTGCCCAGCTCTAAAGCTTCCAGTTTTTCCCAGCCCAGTGATAGGAGGCCTCCCAACTCTTTAATCAGATAACAGCTTAGTCCTTACCCAGTACCCGAAGAGGCCAGTGGGGGTGGATTTAGTAGACAGGATCTGTATAAAGGGCAAATGCTGATACTTGGCAAAGATCAGTAACAGAAGCCCCTGCATGCGGACACTGGAGACCTGCAGGACAGAGGGGCACTGGTCATTCATGTCCCTGCCAGGCGCTGTGCTGGGCGCTCTCGAGACCTGAGCCACATGGATGCCCTGACCCAGGGGTCTATGGCATCTCAATTTGAGTCTCAGCTGCCAAATGATGCACGTGGGAGCTAAGCAAGTTTCAGTTTCTGCCCCTGGGCTAGGGGGTGGAGGACAGAGAAGACAAGGCTGACAGGGACCCTGCCAACAGAAAGGCGCTGACTCAGTGCCAGCCCCAGGCATGGTCAGGTGCTTTTCTCTCCGATACCTTTCTGAGGTCCTACAAGTACCGTGGGCCAGGGCTCAGAAGAATTTCACAGATGCTCAAAGATGAACGGAGGCTAAGGGGCAGGATCTATCCTAGCTCGGGCACTTAGTATTTGATATTGGGCAAGTCTCAGCCTATTTTCTCATTGATAAAGCAAGAATCTGTCTCAAGGATGCTTGGTTAACTGGCACCTATTATTTTTTGGTTTAAGGATTCTTGAAAGTAAATGCAGGGAAAGAACATGAGAACCTTCTAGGGTATGGAAATATTCTGTATCTTGATTTAACTGGTGGTGACAAGGCTGCATATACATATAAAAATCTATCAAACTACACTTAACTTCTCCGTACATTAGAGTTGAGTAGAAAGAAATTAAGAAGATGCTACCAAAAAATAACACAGACTGTCGGCAGTTGGTGTCTATGAAGGCATCGCAGAGGGGATGAGCGGACAGAGGACACGTTTGCAGGCTCGGGAGAACAGGGAGAACAGCCTCTGTCTCCTGACGCGCTTCCTATCGCATTATATCTCTTCGCCCACCCTTTCGGGAAGCACTGTCCTTGTTTTGCAGATGAAGGACTTAAGGCTCAAGGAGACTAAGGAACCAGAAGGACCACCTGGATAACAAAGTCAAAGGACCAGGACTGTCAAAATCCCTGCTCTCTGTGGCCACGGAGGCGGGGTAGGAATGGCCAGTGACCCTCTCTCAGCTTCAGGCTGTCTACACCCACTATCCAAGTAGCTATTTCCGGAGCATGAGGTGCAGAGGCCAAGGAGGAAATCCCCGGGTGGGGAGCATGTACTGGGGCCTTCCAGGAATTATGAAACTTGATCCCGCAGGCCAGGAGCCCTGGCACAGTGAAGGAATCAAAGCCAGGGGGAACCCCAAACCCAGGACTGAGTGAGGGAGGCGTGAGAACCTAGGGTTGGGCAGAGATTGCTATAAATGTGTCCCCCACCTCACTCTCCACCCCGAGTCTGGGCCCTTCCCCTTCATGTGTATATAGGACCATGGAAGTGGGGGTAGGGCTGGACTCTGAGGGACTAACCCCCAGGGAACTGATAAAGATTCAGGAAGAGTTTCAAGCTTAATATTAATCCACAAAGGCACCAGTCCACTTTCTGAAGGAGCAGGGAGGGGGCGAGGGGGCGAGGAGGATGAGGGTGGGGGTGGGGCAGGAAAGCTTGGATTGGGAGAAAGGGTGGAGCTGTGGGAAAAGGCCAGAGACTTATAGGGGAAGTGCTAATTGGAGGAAATGAAGGAGGAGGAGCTAAGGAAGGGACTAGAGGGAGGCAGCTGAGAGCCTTGGAGCCCGCAAAGGGGGTCAACCCCAGGCTTCTCAACCTAAGGCTGGCAGCTTCCAGCCCAAGGAACAGGCTGCAGGCAGGGCTTGCCCCTCAACTCCTGGCTGGGGGAAGGAGGGTCATCTGCTTTGGGTGCCAGGCTCTCAGGAGGCCGCATGGGTAGAATGAGCTGTGTCTATGCCACAAGATGAGCTAATTTCCTTGGCTTGATTCCATTCCACCAATCCCTTGTCAGTTAGCTGAAGTACAAGGAGGCCTCCAGGTTTGGGAAGGGAGTGGGTGGTCAGAGAAAAGTGGCTCTGCCCTCCAAGAAGATTCAGCTCCAAGTCTGCAGGGAGAGACCAAAGTCTGATCTGGGGGGAGCCAAGGGCTTGGGGGCTGGCATCTTCCAGACTCAGTGGCAGGACCAAATCTAGTATGCCCTCCTCCCTACTCTGCCCTCCTCTGGAGGACTCATGGCTCGTGCCTCAGCACCCTTAGGTAAATTAGGGTAACACAATTAATTCTGAAGAAATCCAATCACCCAGGGAAGGGAAAAGAGGAATTCTGGTATTTCGAAGAAGCACTACTCGAGGTGTTTTGAATAGGAGTGTGTTTCACCCCTCGGGTGTATAGGGCAGAAAGGTGAGATCCAACAATCTAGAGCCTTCCTGTAGATTCTCCTATGGTCTAAAGATTTCCCAAAGAACACTGGCCCTTCAGACTGAGAACTCTTTTCCTCCACATTTATCTCCCCTCTCCAAACCTCTGGGCCCCTGAGAATTCAAGGTGCATGTCTCTTGTAATCAGAGGACACCCTCTGGTACCAGCAGCCCATCAACCTTAGGGATCACCAGTATAGCAAGAAAGGACAGTAGTTAAGAACATGGGTTATGAAGTTTGAACGATCTGGATTCAAATCCCAGAGAGCCTGTGTGACCTCTGAGTCTTGGTTTTATCTGCAGAAGACCCATATTTCAGAAGAGTTAAGATTTTTAAATAACATATATACAGAGCTTATTTATAATGCTTAACACCAAGCAAGCACTCGATAAATGGTGGCAATTATTATTGTACTCTGAGATTTCAGGCTGGGCATGGGAGTAGAGATTGGCAGCTGGGGGTGGGTAGGTCCTGAGGTGTTACTAAGCCCCGCTGTACCTCCCCGTGTTTTCCCAACCTGAAAAATATCAAGGTGTTAAACTAGTCCCTGGGGTCCCAGCTCAGCTCCAGCTACCCGAGAAAGACAACAGGCAGGCAGGAGCCCCAGGGAGCCAGGTGCAACTGAGGCTTGGGCCTTTAAATAAAAGGGAAACAGCATGAAAGCCTGAGTGGGAGACCAAAGGACTAGGGGTTAGTAATAAGAGGTGAGACACATTTCCCAACCACCCATGAACTTGTGAGTTACCTTGACGAAGCTCAGAGGGGAAAGCACATCCATGAAGAAACTGCTCCATGGGTCCTCAAAGGCAGTGTCAGAAAGGAGGCTCATGATCCCACAGTTCATTTCCTGCAAACTGCCCATCCCAGGTCAGAGACTTCCCTCTGGCCTGGAGGGCACTGCCTCTGTCGCAGACATTTAGCACTGCCCTCAGCTGACTTTCTAACCTTGGGTTCTCATGACCATGGTCTCTCCCTCCCCTGGCTATTGATCGCCAACCCCTGGCCATCATTGACCCAGGACAAAAGACGCTGACTGGCCCTGATGCAGGCTGAAAGCTTCTGGCCTACAGACTCCAGAGTGAGGGCATACAGGGTACAGCAGCTCCCCGTGGGGACAACTTGGGACTGGTCAGGCTTACCTGATCGTGAATGCAGTGATGGGTGATGGGCCCTGTGGACACCTACCCAATGACATATATGTCCAGATTCAGGTTCAGGTTGTTCAGCTGAAGCAGATCACTGAGGTCTGGAGGCGGTGCTGCAGAGGCCACATTCCACGTCACGATGTGTATGCTGGGAAGGGAAGCCATGGGGAAGGATGGGACCTCGTCTAGGTAACTGGCAGGGGGCTGGGCCTGCAAATGGCTGCACCACAATCCACTGTTGTCAGGATGGGAAATGCATGTTTCTGCATCCAGTGAAGGGAACTACAAGCCCTTCGTCTTCACCTCCATCCCCTGGAGCAGGAAATTCCTACCCTGGATTGGCTCCTCCGAGCAGGCCCACAGCTGCCAACACCTGGCAGCACTATGCTGCTGACAGCAAGAGAGCCGCCTAAGTGGGCACAAAGGTGCCGGGGTCAGGCAAGGGGAGGGGTGCAGATGGGGTGGACAGTCAGGAATTTATGAATTCTACCAGCCCTCCACACTGCAGCAGTCATCCATGGCTCAGTCAGCAACTTCCCACCTGCCCCTCTTCAGTCCACGGGTTCCTCCCACCACAAGAAAGATTCTGGAGGTTCAGTTTTCACCATGTGAGAGGCCTAAGGACTGCAAGACAGGGGAATTTCAAAAATAACAGTGATAATGAAACCACATTTCCTTCCTCACTCCTTCCTAGCAGATCCCTGGAGCACAACCAATTCTGCCAAGTGTGTCAGAGAGCTTAAGAAGATTCTAAATAACAGGTTTCTCAACATCTCTCTCAAGAGTCTACCCTCTTGGGAAAAGTCATCAGTTGGATAACATCCTCCACCACAGCTTCATATAAACCCTAGGGAAGCAACAGATCTAGATCAGCAGCTCTCAAGAACACTGGGATCCCATCAGAGGCTCAGGGGAAGGAGTGACTTGCATATCTCTTCAACTGAATAGTTACAGCAATACTCTCAGGAAGCCCCCAGACTGTGCTGAGTACAGAGCAGGCAGGGACTACAAATCCTGCAGAGATCAAAAACAGCCACCAAGCCTCCAGTGAGTTCTAGGCACACCATGAGGAGAAGAACCTGTAACAGTGGAAGATTTAGAATGGGGGTGTGGGGAGGTGGGAGAAAAGGGCAGGATGTCCCCAAACATCTCTTCTCCACCAGACCCTGTTCTTAGAGGTCCATGTTCTAAAAAAGCACAACTTGAAGAAACTCCTAGCCAGCTTAAAGCAATTTCCTGCCCCTCCTTATGAATATCAACAAAACAATAAAAAAAAAACCACCTTCCTAGGCACTCAGCCAGAGATTTTGTGCTTCATTTGTTTACGATCTCCCCCTGCTGTCCAACAGAGGATTAAGGAAGGCAGCCTTTACAGTCCAAGGCTCCTTGTTTTCCCAAGGACCTGCTCTAAGTGGATGGAGAGCCAAAGTCAGGATTTCTTGTTTCCACTTTCAGATCCGATGATTAGTAGCAAATCCCTGCATCGTGACCTGCACTAAGTTGGTGATTAGCGTTGCTCCTAGTTAAAGAGCAAGCATGGGACCAGGCTATTACCACTTCACTAAAGATCTCATCTAAATCTGATTTTGGATTTCAGGAGGTCACAACGGGATCAGGCAGACCCCATGATGTATGTGCTGATCAAAAGTAAGAACGAGATTTCTACTCTAGAGCTAAGAAGAGAATGCTTTGTTCTGTCTTTAACTTCAAACAGTCCAACGCTGCTGCCTCCTCCAGAAGCAAACTGGGACATCTGCTTGGGGCGTCCAATTGGGAACGAGCTTGGCGGCCTGAGTTTGAAATGGGTGAGGGGTTCGAGCCTAACATACCCCTCTTGATACTGGCCTGGGAGATTGTGAGACGACTCTGAACTAGAAGCAGCCCCGCAGGTCTGGCTCCTTCTCTCCCAGCCTGGTTCTGCCCCGGACCCTCAGCCCCAAGTGGGTCGGAGGCAGGGACCCCACCCGGAGCAGGCCGGTCTGCCCGCAGCCGCCTTCCTCACCTGAGCGTCCTGCTTCTCGGTTCGGTCTGTGGGTTCGTGGCTGCCATGGTCCCCACGCGGTGGCCAGGCCGGCTCGTGTGTCCTCGCCGCAGCCGGTCCCGGCCCGATCGGCCCCCTTCGGGTAGCAGGTGCTGGCCAGCTCGCTCTCACCCGATTGTTTTTCTTCCGGATTCCGACCTTCCGCCTCGGCTTCCGTAAGAGGCGGGGCCTGAGCGCACGGAGGGCTCTGGGTGGCGCGGCCCGGGGGAAGAGGCGGTACTCTCCAATGAGCGCGAAACGGTGAAAGGCGGAGAGGAAAGGGGCCTAGGACACCGGGACGTGAGAGGCGTGTCCTCGTGTCATTAGAACCCGACGCAACACTGCCCCGCCCACCGCTGGGGGAGGCCGCCCCCCCAGCTCCCAAGGTGCCCCGCGCGAGGCCGGCCGGGAGGGGCCATCTTCCGGCGGAAGCCACCGCCACGGCCGCGTGAGCCTCCTGGCGTGTCCGGTTTCAAACACCAAGTCTGAGGTCTCGAGCCTCTGCACTGTCTTCCTCCAGGTTCCTAACGCCCGGAGGCGTTGGGGGAAGGCGAGGGGGAAGGGGCGCAGCCCAGCCACTGTCCGGCCTGTAATCCAGTCTCTTTCCCCCTGACTACAGGTAATCTGTCTTCTCTTGGTCACTGAGCGCCTCCATTCTTAGCTCACCTCTATCCCCACTTTCAAGTGTTTTTCACTTTTCAAACTCATGCAAACATATTGGACCTTTGGGGGCTCCTGGGCTCAGAAAATGAGCAGTGAACTAAAAATAAGTCAGTGCCTCTATTTTACGACCAAACATGAAGTGATTATTTATTGCGCCAAAGATTAACTATGATTTCCTTCTAATCACTGGTTCTTAATCTTTCTGTTGAGGGGACGGGGCAGGACAGTGTATGGTATACCTTTGAATATCTGATGAGAGCCATGACTCTCCCCCGAAAAATGCAGTTTTACAAAGAAGCTTCATGAGGTTCACCAACCTGGAAGCCAGAGTAAGGACTCCTCTAAATAAATGTTTTGCTTGGTAGGATGGGAAAAAGAGGGGCATGTGAAGGGCAGGGGAGACAAAAGCAGAAAAGAAATACTGCCAGGAGAAAATGGCCAAATTACTTCCAGATATGTGATGTTTGCGTAAGTAAAATGATGAGAGAATGTTTTAATTTACAGAAATCGACCTGCAAAAATTTTCAGAGCTATCTTGTAACTTTTACTAATCCTTGTTAAAAGGGGAACAACAAGAGTTTGATGATATCTAAGTTGTAAAATGGACATAAGGACATCACCAATAAGTTGGACTCCAGAAAGCTCTGTCTAGGATTTTATTAGACTGCTTTTGTTCCCCCAATATACCTGTATTGGAAGATTGAGACAAAAAGGCACAAACTCACATTAAATAAACAAGGTAATCTAATCAGTTCTACAAAGTGTATTTTGTAAAAGAAGTAGCACTAGGAACCAACCAAAATAAGTCAGGGAGTCCCAGTAGGGACTGTAAGAGAGTTTGGGAAGATATACACGTGCCCACAATACTGACCCTGTCCCCCACCTCTCTGTGAGGCGGCCAGAGCCCAGCACCCCTCCTACAGAGGCACTGCTGCTTCTAACTGGGACTACAGCCCTGGAAATCTTAACAGAAGCTGGTCTGAAGAGGCATGGCACATCCTTGGGTACTACCCCTGGAGCTGAGCCTTGCATCATAAGCCCCTCTGAGTGCTAGTTAGTTTGGGAGGGGATAAGGAGGGAAGGGAGGTACTTAAAAGAAGCCAACACTGTTGCCCAGCAGTGACACTATCCGCGAGGATGGAACAGACCAGGGACATCCCTCCTGTTTATGTGGGCTAGAGCCCTAGATCCCGCTGACTTCTGGAAATTCTAGCAGCTCATGTGGATGCTTTCAAATTGGGCAACAGGTGGAGGTGGGAGGAGCCAAAGAAAAGGCTAACAAAGAGCGAGCCCCTCCCCCTAGAGCTGGAGTGATATGTGTGGATCTCTGAGAAGAGCTGAAGGAAGGAGACTAATATCTGCTGACCCTCAAGCCACATCAACAGTGGTCTGTTTAGAATATCACCACTTGTTTCTCCCAGGATAACCCACATCTGGACTTGACTTAGTTGAAGAATGAAGAAGAGAAAGCTTTAAGCACACATATAATTATAGCTAACACAGAGCTTGTAGGAAAACATGTATATACTTTTCTCCAGTAGGAATGCGTCATCAACTTTCCCAAATAAATGCTACCAACAGTTGGGATGCTAATAACCAACTGAATTGCTCCAGATCCATTACTACAGACCCCACAAGGTGAGGAGACTAATAGGAAGGTGTGACAGGACATCTCCTGATCCCTAAGGGGCCCCAATGAAGGTGAGAGCTACCCTGGCTGAGGGGTCTGAGTTTGTCCTCCCTTGCCCCAGGAGGGCCACAGGGAAGCAGCCATCAGGAAGTCACAGGTGTAATCCTGCGAGACACTCCCTTATTGCACTTAGAAATGAGTAAGGCCAAACTGACAAGAACATAAGGACAGATTATCCCATCCTACTTTTCTCTCCCCAACAGAGATTTGGTCTCTCATTAGCAGTGGCACCCAGACTAAAATGTGCTTGAGTCACTGCACACTCAGCCAACATCCTTCACAAGGCTTGGGAAATGTCAGGTGGCACCACAGCTATCTCAAATTCTCCCACTGGAAAGGCATACTTGGCTTCTGCCAAGTCATAGGGAACTATGAAGCACTCAGCGGCTTCTCTTCCCTGCAGCCTGGACTTTCTCACCAGCCAGCTTTGGTAGAGTTCTGTACTACGATCACTACTTGTTTCTGATTGTCCAGGACAGAATTCAGCATGAGGGCAGGACAAGCTGAGTTCCTTATACCCAAATTCCTTTCCAGGACTAGGGACAAGGGGAAACATGTTCTGGGGAAGCTTTTCACATGCTTGTTCTGTGCAGCCTGAAAAGATTAGGACCTCTGTGTCCTGACCAGCCTCAGACAGAGGACAGGAATCTAAGAAAGCACAGAGAAAAGAGGATTATTGCTGAGTGGCAGCACCAGCCCAAAAGGGAAGAGGAGCACGGACATACAGAACTCCTAGGGGTAAGGGGGTGGGGCAGACTCAGTTCCAAGGGCCACACTGGACAGTTCCTCCACGCAGAGTTGACCTGGGCATATTACGGGCTCTGCAGAGATTCAGACAGAGTGGGCAACAGGAGGGCCAAGAAGCCATAGGTATTTCTAAGACTAGTGACCAGAGATGCAATGCCTGGGCCAGGGGTTATTTGTTTTTGTTTAGTTTTCAAAACAGAGACTGGCTGGGCCTTGGGTACTTCCATGGTGCCTGGAGCACTCTTAACACTGGGTTACTGGGAGCAGAGATCAGAGTTATGAAGCCACATTGCTGTCCTGTGGGACTGCGGGAAAAAAAAAATCTGTATTTCTAACTCATCCCCTCTCCCAAGGTGAGCACTCATATTGCAAAGATCTGCCCAGGAAGCAAAATACCTTAGTTCATCCCAAGGCTGGAAATAAACAAACATAAATCATTTAAATCACCACATCACAAAAGGCAGCTATTTTGAAAGACTAAAAATGTCACTTGGAAATCAAGGGGGTGGGGGACACACAGAAATGGGTTGAGAACACAATGGTTGGAGAGGGAGGAGCTGTAAATACAGCAACCTACACGCCACATATCTCAGAGGAGCAGGCTCCTGCACACACGGGCCTCATAATACCAGACGGTCTATTTGTTCACAATATTAACGGGCATCTAGAATTTAGCTACAGTAAGGGATCGAAAGTTGCCTGAAGAATGGGCATAGAAAGGCTGCGTCCGAAGATGGCCTGTCACTCGGGAGGGTGGAGCTGCTGGGCCTTCCTGTTGACCACTGTCTTGCAAAACTAGAAGAAAAATACAATTATTAAGGAAGCAACAGAGGAAAACAGAAATACACTGTAAATCATCATTGATGGGGGAATTTCAAAAGGAGGAAGGATGCCAGGCGGTGTGGTGGTAGGTGAAGGGAGAGAGGAAACTAAGGTCTAAGCAGTGACTGAGAAGCTGGCATGGCAACAATCCACTTAATCCCACTGTTTTATCTCCCAGAAGTTCTCAAGCACATGGAGCGGGGAGAGAAAGCAGAGGTTTGCGTCACTGCTGGCAAGACCCTAGGCCTCCTTAGCACCTCAGTGCTGAAGGACAGCCGGTTTTTATTTGATCACATGATTTTCTCTCAGAGCCAGGCTTTTCATTCCATAATTAAGCCCCTCTGAGCTGCTGGAATTACAGCAAGTCCAGAGATGTGCAGGGCACTGTAGCTAACAGAAGGAAGGGTCTTGGGGAAGAGTGACAAAGAACAAGGGACATCCCATCCTGGTCCTATGACCTGGGCAGAAATACTCTCAAAGCATCTGAAAGATGCTGCCTCTGATGGGGACAGCTACTCAGTCTGGGATTGGGAGAATAAAGAGGAAGGAAATGAAGCACCAGACCCAAGAAGGAACACTGGGAAAAACTGGCCAACGAATTTTCCAAAGGAGGGGTAGGGAATGGCAGCAGTGTGGAGCTAGGAACTGGCTCTGGCACAGGGGGTTCAGAAAGCACCCCACAATGCCAGCTTCAACTTGAAATGGCTCAAGTTACAAAAGGAAGAGTAATTAGTGCAGATAAGCTTTGAGTCCCCCACCCCAACCCCACTTCTCACCACCCTGTTCCTGTCTCTGTCTGAGCGGTTCTTTATACAATCACATGTCCCTGAAATGTCTTAACAGTCATAACCTCTCTCAGTGGAAGCCCAAGAGCTGTTCAGCATGGCAATCCTCATTATTACTAGAGGACAGGGGAGGAATAAAGCAGGTTTTCTGCCTCCAGAGTGAGCTGCTGAGCCTTGAGGACCCAAACTGATTTTAGCGCCTGTGACATGCTCAGTGAGAAATGTGGTACATACAGTGCAGAGGGGGAGGGGTGGCCTTAGTCATCCGCTGTCATTCCTTTCACTGGGTCCTTTTGTCTCATCTGGAACAGAAAAAAAAGGAAAAACTGAAAGCTTTTGCCGCTGATGGAGCTCACCACAAATACATTCCTCCTCTTCGATCTTGCCAGTGGAGAGGGCAGAGCAAGCATTTTCTTGTGCACAAAGCAAATCAGAGAATAGAATCCTGCACACACACAGCCAAAGCTACCCCATTTATAGCTCTTGTCACTGGTCCCACCAACCATGATTTCTGTTTCTCTGCCCTGCATCCCATGTTGGGGTTTCGTTCTTAAGTTCCCTTCTTTCATTCATTCATTCAGCAGATATTTAGGAAGCATCTTTTTTTGTGCAAGGAACTGCTCCAGGCCTGATGATTTAGCAATGAACCAAAATAGACCAAGTCTCGTTTCGAGGAGCTTAAATTCTGGGACAAGATGGGGAGAACGAACAAACTATGTCAGTGGGGCTAAGGGCCACTGGCATAGAGGATGACTGTGGGGAAACACTATTTTATGAGCTGGCTGTGGAGAGCCTCTCTGATGAGTGATGTTAGTGGAGACCTGGAGGAAGTGAGGGGGGAAATCCTGTGGCTCCCAGGGGTGGAGGTGGTTCCTGGAGCATTTCAGGCACAGGGAACAGCAATGCCCTCTTCTGAGCTCTAATTAGAGGCTTCGCCCAGTCAACCACGTGGACACAGTGTGGCTCCAGAGTTGGGCAGCAGAGGACAGGGATGGAAAATACAGGGGAGATCGCAGCTCAGCGGAAGTGTGAAGCTGCTGGAAAACAGGATAGGGTCTTCTCTGGAAGCATTGAGTGGTCCCTGTCCCTGGCACCCTCCAAGCGGAAGAGGACACAACTTCTTGCTGGGAATACTGTGGTGGCGATCGCTCTCAAATCCTTTCCAACTTGAAAATTCTACTCTAATTGCAGGATGTCTATAACGTGTGTTTCAACGTCCCATTAGATATTTCTTCTCTATCTCTGAGCTTTCTACTCGACTTTCACTCCATACTCATTCAACAACTTTTGAGCAGATAAGAGCATAAGCACTGGAATCAAACTGCCTGGACCACATTCAGGCTCCATCACTAACTGTGTGACCTTGAGCAAGTTACTTCGCTGCTCTCTAAACCTCAATTTCTGTAATAATAAAACAGAGATAATAACAGTACATATGTCATGGGGGTTGTGGTGAAGATTAAAATACTCACGTAGAGTACTTAGCGCACCAGCGTGCTTGGCACAGAGTCTGCACTCATACCTGCTATGAGTGTTATGTCCTTGCTCTAAGCAGAGTCCTGTAGTGAAGGGGGTGTGTATGCAGCTCTGAAGAACCTGGACTTTCAAGCCACAGACTCCTCAGTTATGTTCTACTCACTAGATTGACTACTGCCACATCCTGCAGAGACTCTACCTCGGCAGCTGCAGTTCTCCACTGGGAACATTTTCAAATACTCTTCCTGCCACATTTCAAACTGATGTCTATTGTTCACCACCCACCCAACTACTATAATCAGTAAGTCCACGTGGAACCTGGACATGAGAAAAACATTCTTCTGGTCCTCCCCACAGGTTCCTATAGTCACTCCCTATTGACAGCATCACTGTAAAAAGGTCTTTGGTCTTTTACTCTAGAGTTTCCTCAAAATTGATTCAGAAAACTGCCTGGGGCACATGTAGGTTCTTGGGCCCCAGACCTGATGAATTAGAACCTACAGGAGAGGGACCTTAAGTGAGTCACAAAAATCAGCCGGTCTCACAAACCTCGCTTTTCATCATCCTCAGCAAAGATCCTCTGCTCCCAACAGGAAAGTCTATTTTCTGACACCAAGCCAGCCAGTAGGAGCTTATTCTGAGATCTCCCTGAAATGCCTTTCCCCTGTAGATTCTGCTCAAAACTCAACTTTCCTGAATGATATCATTACTTTTTTTTATTGCTTCTGTAACTTTAGTTAGCCACATTAATGAATACCTATTAACTTACTACTTTATAAGAGTTCAACACATTCAAAATTTTTCAATATGACAAATCTGGGTAAGAGCACTGTCATATTTTTTTAAAAGACTAAAAGTTAACTTTGTGGTGTTATGATGGAAGTATTTGTGTGAACACAGTATGTCAGATAAATACAGAAATAACTACAGACTGTAAAGCCCCCCTGCTGCATCCTATGAGCAGGTCTGGGAGTAGCAACACCCCAACAGTAATGAGCACACCCAGCACCCAGACACCTCTGCCACTAAAGGAACCAGGGCTTCCGGGAGATCCGGCCAATTCCAGCGCTGGTCACAGAAAGAGCAAGACAAGCCTGGAACGCCTTGCTGTGTAGAATGAAGGTAACATCACCAGAACTGGACAGAAAGGCAGGTAGAAGACAGTGAAAAGAACACCAAATCTATGATGTTTTGGCCTAAAACACAGAAACTGGATCTAATCACATAGAATCGTTGGACATATTTCAACTGAAAAATACTCAATAAAATGACTACCCTATAACCTTCACAAATGTCAAGGTCTTGGAAGTCCCAGAATACTGAGGAATTGAACCAGACTAAACGAGACTAGGAGGGCACAGTGTGTGTAATGTAGGGTTGTACCCTTTCCTTGAAAAGAATGGGGTCTCTGGGTTAAATGGGAGTACAGGAGTTCTTCATTATTCTTGTCATTTTCTGTGAGTTTGAAACTCTTTCAAAATAATTTTTTTAAAAGACAAATGCTAATTTGAAAAGACATATGCACCCCAATATTCACAGCAGCACTATTTACAGTAGCCAAGACATGGAAACAACCCAAATGTTCGACAAATGACTAGATAAAGAAGATGTAGTTGATACACAATGAAATACTACTCAGCCATAAAAAAGAATAAAGTAATGTCATTTGCAGCAACATGGATGGACCTGGAGACTGTTATTCTAAGTGAAGTAAGTCAGAAAAAGAAAGAAAAATACCACATGGTATCACTTATATGTGAAATCTAAAAAAAAAAAATGGAGGGGGGAGACACAAATGAACGTATCTACAAAACAGAAAGACAGACAAAGAGAACAAACTTACGGTTTCCAGGGGGTAATGGGGGTAGAAAGGGATAAATTGGGAATTCTAAATTTGCACCTCTTGAGGAGTAATGGAAACGTTAGTTATCTTGATTGTGGTAGGGGTTTCATTGGTATATACATCTATCAAAATTAATCAAATTGTACATCTGAAATATGTGTAGTTCGCTGTATAAGAATCATACCACAGAAAAGGTGTTAAAAATAAATAGTTTAAAAAATTTAAATTAAAAATTAAAAAAAAAGAGACAGAAACACGCTCATTAAATGTCTGCTCACTAATGACCATTCACGTAAATTTTCAATAATCAGAGAGGCTAAGATTTGGCTTCGTGGGAGCAAAGCTCCCCAGGCCTCAGGCAGATTCTTGTATGCCCTGAGAGTTCACTGCCTTGCTTTAATTTACTAATGTAAAGCCAGGTCCTGTTTTCCTACTGCTTGAAATAAGATGCAACTTCCTATCAGGAAACACGATAGCTTCCTCCACTCTCAGAGACAAGGTCCCTCCACAGAGGGTGCCACTGAAATAAAAATATATTATTTCATTCCTATAATGAAATGCCCTAAGAATGCTTATTTCCTGTTTCCTGGGGCCTAAATGACATGAAAGATTTTATCTGATTTTGGAGTGTTCCTCAGATCGAGCCACTGCAAGCTGTGTATATACATATAGTCGAGGAACATGAAAATAGAAGCTCCAGTCTTGCTTTGTTTATTTTTAACAGTGGTTTCCTGTAGGGAATGAGGCCAGGAGTTGGAGGAAAAGGACTTTTATTCATCTACTTATCTTATTTATTTTTTGGACTTCTATTTTTAATATTTTTCTCTATTTTGTGAAAATTGCTTTTACTATAAGTATGAAATACTCCTTTGACTTTAAAAAAAAACCAGTTAAAGTATCAATGTCAGTTTCCTGGGTATGATATTGTACTATCGTTTTGCAAGATGTCATTGGGAGAAACAGATCTCCTCTCTATTATTTCTTAAACCTGAATGTAAATCTTACAATCATCTCAAAATAAAAAGTTCAATTAAAAAAAAAGCTAGTAAAAAAAAAAACCCAAACAGTTTAGGACATTGAAAAGTAACCACAAGTCAGTTCTGAAAGTACAGAGAGGAGGCACATGTGGAATTGTTTTTATTTACCTATGTTTAAATTTTATTTTTATTTATTTATTTATTAAAGGGGGGATTAGATTTGTTTGTTTGTTTATTTATTTATTTAAATGGAGGTGTTGGGAATTGAACTGAGGACGCTGTGCATGCTAAGCACATACTCTACCACTGAGCTATATCCTTCTCCCTTGGATTTTGTTGTTGTTGTTGTGAAGGAGGTAATTAGGTTTATTTCTTTCTTTATTTTTAGAGGTGGTACTGGAGATTGAACCCAGGACACCTCATGCACATGCTAAGCATGTGCTCTACCACTATACCCTCCCCACTCCTTTGAAATTGTTTTTCAAATCTCTTTAGAAAGCCACTCTCTTTATAACAGGTTTAGCCCTTTGGGAAAGAAATTTAGCAAGAAATAACAAGAGTCTTAAATTCTCTAATTCCATTCATAGGAATTTATTTTAAGTAAATAATCCTAATTACCCAAAAAACTTAGTGTACAATAATTTTTCACCACAGCATCATTTAGAAACAGTGAGAACCAGCAAACAACACAACAGAAACAAGGAAACGCCAGAGTACAGAGCAATATGTACACTACTATTAGAAACATGTATGTGCAGAAACGGGTTTTTTAGTAGGAAATACTCTGTTATAACGTTCAGAGAAAAAAGTAAGAGAAGCACCCGGCACGTGCAATACCGTCGTAACTAAGTAAAAGTGTACAGAAAGACTTAAAATGTTTACGGTGGTTGTCTTTAAATATTAAGAGTACAAGTGACTTTTTTCTTTCTACTCTTCACTCTTTTCCAAAAAGTATTTAAACTTATATACTACCTTAATATTGAAAAATGAAACTATTTTAAAAGAA